TATATATATATATATATATATATATACATATACAGGATATATATGAGTAAGTGTTCAAATTTTTTACCATGTGATTCTAATTATCGATGGAAATTATAATTGATCGAGCAATGCACATTTGCATATCTACATCTCTCTTCAGACAGTCATAAAAATTTTAAGTTACGCGCCGTGCTTGACGTGGGTACGGGACGGTTTTGTGTCTATCGTTTCATTCGAGTAACATTGAACAGAATTTGCTGTAATTCTTTATCTAATGAATATTTCCAAAAAAAAATTTTAGGGAAAAGCGAGAAGAGAGACCCTGTCTCAGTATCACTCATTGCTGATTTTCAGAAAGATAAACCAATAACCAATTAACAGAAAGATAAACCAATAACCAATTCATGGAACATCCAACATGACATTTCTGACAAGAAATTGAACCACTAATAACGCCTTATAAATTTATATTGAGACAAATGTATGAAGATGTCGATTACGACGCATATTTGCGTCATCTGTATCCAAGAACCTAAATGACGCATTTATGCGTCATCCGTCGCCAATATGTTAACATGTTCCTAATACTAGACAATCTGCTTGAATTAGACCATGTTTATATACTTTTTATTATGTATAAAATAAATGACATTTATTATTAATAATTCAGTAAAATTAATTAATTTTTACAGCAACAAAAAAGTTAAAATTAAAAATTTCTTGATATCAGAGAATCGCTATTAAACAACTTACAATGACGCTAAGTATTTTATAAATATACCATATTGTCTATAGCTGCTGCTGCATCTTCGGCAATCTCAAATTCAATAAATGCAAATCCTCTGTGCTTTTCGGATTCATAGTCCAATGGGATCTGAACATCAACAATTTCTCCAAAGGGTATGAATGCTGCATGTAGCACCTTCTCATCAACCTCTTCAGCCAAACCACCTAAACAACAAAGAATGAAATATTAAATCGTTAATGCTAATTTGTCATAGAATAGTTTATATCCCTTGATGTTGATATTTAGAGTATTTTAAAAGTTATCTTTCAAAGAAAAACAATGTTAACCTATATATCGTGTGTGTGTATGTGTGTGTGTGTGTGTGTATATATATCATATATATATATATATATATATATATATATATATATATATATA